TTTCCGTCATTCTCTGGGAACTTTATTGTAAAATTTTTAATTCGCCACTATAAATCAAAATTCATAAAAACATAAAATGGTGATTTACAAAAAATACTTGTGCTCCTATCCAAAATAAGTATTCTGCCCACATCTTGGAAAACAGAGGGTTTACGACTTTTCTATATATTAGCTCAGACGAACAATTCTAATGAACCGGCTTACATTGATGTGGAAATAGTGATTAAATAAATATCATGAACATTTGATAATAATTATTATGCTAGTTTTGAGAAAGATTATCAACCAACTCGGATTTATGTTACTTTATAGATTTTGAAATTGGTTGCTAAAAAACTTCCAGCCTAAAGATCAATTATTAGAAACTATATACTAAAAAAGCAGAAGTAGATGCCTATAGATTTAGTCTTGGTGATAGTTAAGTATTATATCATTTGACCTTTTTTGATATTGTTGCAAACACACTCAAGAGTCCGGTTCAAAGTTCATGAACATGTTTCAGATGTTCAAGTACATGTGCCCAGTGTACAAAAATTTGCAAATTTCCAAATAACCAAAAGCTAGCATTTAAAATTCACAACAACAATGGCTGCTGTATGTATTTATGCTTGGCTTGAGCTAGACTTGTGTTGCAAGAAGATAAAAACGAACTATTACTGTTGTTTCTCTTTAAGGAACTCTAGTTAGATGTAATTACATTACATCATAAAGTCTTTTATGATACAAATATTTTTATCAAATAATTTCATGCTTTGGTATTTTGCTAAACAATTGTCAATCTTGGCTAATGAATCCGTTGGAGCTTCTGGACCTGGAGACTTGTCAAGTTGTCTAAAAAGCGAATACAGTTTTAACTAAATATGTAAATTAGTTGACCAGATATTTTCTAATAAACATATCGAGTACAAATTTGTTCTCTTGCCACCGACGTTTTCTATTATCTCATGATCTGATTTTTGGCTTTTGCTGTTTTATCCTTCGTTGTGTTTGCTTGTTTTGTAAATTCTGTGACATTACGCGTTTTTGATTTACACGTATTAGTATCTGATTCCATTGGCTAAAATAGCAATTCAAGTTTGGAATTATGCAAAAAAAAAAAATACTATTATTCTATTGATAAAGACAATATTCCTACTGAAGCGGATATACATTTTTTGAAGAACCATCAAGGAACTAGTAGAGGTTTTATTAAGCTATACATACATATTGAAAATATCCTAGCATCCAACTCTTTTTTTTCATTTGCAGTAAATTTCCAATATTTAAAAATACCGGTACGTACTAAAATCTTGATTAAATTATTTCATAGTTCAAATATGAATCATTATAATATCCTCTGTAAAGAAAAATTAAAAAGTTAACTGACCTCCTGATATCTAAGATACGACGCAATGGAAAGTCAGGGTGGGAGTTGGAGTAGTAATACCAGCAGATGAAAAATTACCAGCCGGCCAAGAATTATTGTCATAATCAAATAGTTCACCGTTATTATTGCTATATAAATGTCCACTATTATCATCATCATTAACCAATAATTGACTGTCACCACTACCACTACTGTTAATACTATTATAATCACTACTATTCAATGATTCATTATTATCATTAACTGATGGTTTGCCATTATTAATTAATGAATCGTTATTACTATTAATTCCTATATCTTTCGATTTTATTCTACTACAAATATTAGCTATTTTCTAGGTGAATTGTTTGCACAAATAAACACGGCAGAGTCAATCACCAGTCGATTAAGCCGAAATTTTCTTGGTCGCTAGAAAATTATACCGGATGACATCACTAAGTTGGTCCCTGAATTTTATTGAAATTTGCATTTTGGCTTTTTTTTGTTTTCAAAGAACATACAAAGCTTCCCTGTGTCAAGTTCTTTGTCCTTGAAAAGTAATCACGAAAGATATCATTCAAATTGCAGTTTGCAGAACAAAGAGTATATATCCAATGTAAGGTATTCAAGCTCTCAAGATTTATATAAAACTTTGATTAGATATCGCTCTAATGTTCTAATTTCATACATCAAGTTATATCGTGCATCCATCTATAATTTTTTAGTGTTTCTCAAGGATATGACATCATCGAAATCATTGATAGGTTTCACTATAATAACATTATAGATCCTGTAATTATGATGCTACTTCGTGACGTAATAATCAAAATGATTTTTTTGCTCAATTAACCTATAACCACAACTTTTTTATGCCATGGTATACAGTAACCGAGTTATGCATGAAGAGAAAAGTTGAATCAATGAGCAAGAGTAATTTTTTATTTTTATCTTTTTATCCAGATGATTTGATCTCTATTATTATTATTATTACTATTATTGCAATATCTGATTATTTAATTATCACTATATTTGCCATTTAGATTTTTCAACCAGGGCAACAAGAAGGCGCCTGTGTATAAGGATGGTTCTATATGTTAAATCTAACGCCTAGGCTTGATATATATTAGATTTCATATTATTTTTTGCAAGAAGCTTTATGAATTGCTAGAGCTGATAGAGTGCTTTATAAGAAAGACCATCCTTGTCTATATCTATTTCTTTGTCTAAAAAATAACTTGATTTCCGAATTAATTATTCCAAGAAAGCAAACAATTTGAAATAGTGAACAATAATCCTATTAATGCGAATGGTGATAGAAGAAATTCTGAAAAACTTTTGTCCGATCAGCAAGAAAAAACTCTACAGCTTACCAGATATGAACGAGCCAAATATTTTCATTCTGATTTTGACATTTTATTGATGATAGATAATGTGGCAAAAATGTTTCCAGCAGGATAATTGTTTTGTTTGATCTGCAAATTTATCATGTCATACTACTGTAGCTAACAACCTCAAAGATGGGGATTTTGCCAAACCAGCAGTGAAATATAAGAACTACATCTTGAAGCTATTTGATCTTGATTAGTAGTTACAACTATTATTCTTTATATTGCTAAAACAAAAATAGGTAACTTTGCTTGTCTTAGATTTTCTTAATTATATAATTACAAGATTTCTGCGCAGATTTTTGGTTAATTGAGATTGAGGTCCATCTGGTGATGATTCTTGAATTAGGCATTCTCCTTACATTTTTCTGGGCATTCATTTTTTTATAGGGTTTGTTTTACTGCTACAACGGTAACATCAACATTATTATACATAAAAAGCAATTTTCTTGCCTGATAGTACTATAATCCTTGGGTTCCATGGTAGATCGATCCCATGTATATTAATCCTCATATGAAAATCACCAAGTAGTATAATTAATTAATTAAATTTCGAACTCAGTATGGTCCGTCCATATATGGAAAGTTTTCAGCTCTCCTATTTCCTTATTTATAAACTCTTTACACGAGCAAAACTTCATATTTATTTAAATAACCGGTTGACAGTTGCCAGATATGGTAACTGCTACCGCGCTATTGTAGATCAAATAATAAAATGAAAACAATAACAAAAATAACAAAAAATTATTAGACGAAAATTTTTGTATAAATAATCCCTCTTTTCCCCCATTGTTTTTTCTTAGGTTCTAGCACTGCGCTTAAGGCTGCCTATGGTATCTTCCATAGCGGGGGTACCCGTGGTAGTTCATCGGATTGGACCTTTGTAGGCTTCTTGGTTGGCTTCAACTATTATAAGAGTAGTCTGCATTGTGGCAATAAACTTCCCCTTACCGTCTCTTCTTTCCCCTGATTCTGCAGAATGCAATTGAATTAATAGTTTTCTATTATTTCATTAAGCCTTTATCAGCGGTGATGGCGGGCACTGTTGATGCTGCTTGTCCGATGGACACTGTAGATGATGGATAAGTCGGGTTTGTCAGGATATATGGAAGGCCGTGTAACCAACCGAGGCTCAGGATTGGGCGTGCCATTTCACAACTGGTTGGGCACGACATAGACACGCGTTATCGGCTGGAGCGTGTTGTATTATTCAATATTATTATTATTAATTTTTTAAATGTAAACAATGTGTATGCATGTACCCTTTAAACTATTGTATATATAAATTATCTACCTCTAAATAAAATAAAACATAACTTATAACATATTACTATAATTAAGGAAACACTTGATAATAATAAATATTACTCGCCCATCTACTTGTAGTTTTGAAACTAAATTTATTTGGTGATTATACTATTTCTTCAAAGATCTAACAAATATTGTTTAATTCTCTTTTAGAATTTCGTTTATTGGTCATCACTCAACAGAGATTTAACAGAAACGCGTATCTTTCGATCGGAAAACGTCTATGGTGGACGAAGCTAACATTTAAAGTGGAAAGTGTGTCTGGCTTTAACTATTACTACACAATGAAAATATTTCTCTCTGCCCATGCGTGGTTAAATGATGAGATCGTTAAAGAACCTGTATGCATCTTAGATTGGAAAACGTACACGAGTTAAATGAAGCAATCGAATAAAGCAATTATTTAATCAAAAGTTTCTTGTTACGTGACTCTTGGGGTTTTCATTCTTTAGTATTTTTATATGGTAAACATCCAACTTGTGATAAATGTAGTACTATGTATTTATTTATTTATAGTATTCCAAAATTATTGACTCAAGGATGAACTATTGACGAATTAATAATAATACAAGTACAGAAGGACACTTGGAGAGATCGTAAGAAAAATTTTAATAAAAAAGATCTTGGGGAAAGTTGGGACTTTCGGTGACGTCAAAGCTATGTCTAGTACTTTGAAAGTCGAAAAAGAATATCAGTCTGAATGTTTTTTTTTTTACCTATCCCATAGTGCCCAAAATTGACAACAAATGTAAATGAACGAAAGAACGAAAGACATATTTTTGTTTATATTTCAATTATTTATTTTAATGATATAACATGACTAATTTTTCCTCTTAATCATATACACCTATAATTCCTTCTTCAACATCTATTTAATCATCAAAGTACAAGCTATATTAATTATTAAATAACGATAAAATTTCCTAGTGAAATTGTTGTTTAAAATAAAATAAATAAATTTATTAGAAATTTTGTTGTAGATTATTTCTTTTTGATTCATTTTTCTCCAATTTTTTTTTGTGTTTATCAAATAAAACAATTCTATTTTTCAATAATTTTTTTTGTCTTATAGCTTTTAATAGTCCGTTCCTTGATTCAATCAAACATCTTAAAACTTCATTACTATTACTTAGTTGTTCCTATTTTTCAACGAAACCAAAAAAAATTATTTATTTATTTAATTTCAAAAAAAAAAAAAAATTTTTATAAAAAAAATAAAATAAATTACTTGTAATTGTTCACGAACAGCGATTAAAGTTTCTAATCCTTGATCTTTAGCTTCTTGGGCTCTTATACCTTTATTTCTATCGTTGCCTTGCAGTCCAACATTAAGCACACCAAAACCCAAACCACCTTCATCTTCATCAACTTTGACAACACGAGTACTAACAATTTCTGGTGAAGGGTTAAGTCTAAAGTCCAGGTTTGGATACATGGCATCATCGCCTTGTAATACAGCCATCAATCTACCAATTATTTTATTAAAATTTTTCTCGGTTTCAATTCTTTCCATTAAGAAGGCAGCGCAGTGTGTTAACGCTTTGTCATTTAAAATCCTTTTATATTGCGGCTTCTTGATAACATCTTCTAATTTCTCTAATGGGCCAAGAAGTTCTAATAATTGTATTATATATATTATATTAATATAAATAGATATTAATTGATTAATTTCTCGTCCTCCTAAAAAAAACCTCAAACCTTCAACGTTAATATCTTTGTAAGGGTCAAATTCTGAATCACCATAATATTGAACAACTTTTAGAATGGAGTCTTGAGGAAATCTATGAATTATTGGACGTCTTTGTCCTTTTGGTATTTTGATATGTTCAATGTCTTGATAAATGTCATATGGTGCTTTCAATCTTGATTTTGCACTCATTGCATCAGCTCTATTTTTTAATTTATGACCTCTATTAAATGGTATTAGACCTATTTCTTCTTGTTTTATAATACTTTCTTCATCTGTATCATCTAGTTAATACCCGTGAATGAGGGCAATAAATCAAATAATTTAGAAAATTAAAAGGGTGGTTTTTTTTATTAAACTCTTTTAAAAATAAGCCAGATTCATTACCTTTACAAACACGTTGTTGTTGTTGATTACTATTTATTAATTAATTCGGGAAATTAATTCGAAATTTATATATATTGTTAAGTAAAATTATTAATAAAAAAAAAAAATAACAAAATTTAATATTAACTGTTCAAAAGAATTGCTCGTAGTTTCATCAATGTCCATCAAGTCATGCTCTAAAGAATATTTATGTTGAGACGAAGAAGTGGGGGTGATTGGAAGTTGATTATGATGAAAGTTAAAATCATTATTTAATCTTGAAGGCAATAATAGAGTTCGAGCTGCATCTTCAACTGCACTATCTATAAGAATATTATTTTGATGCTGTCGTTTTGATGATTTTTGTGCAATGGAACTTTTTTGTGATTTTATCCCTTTTGGATTTGATATAGTAGCGGTAGTAGTAATAGTAGAAGAAGGCGAAGAAATATTATTAATCTGTGATATTTTTTGAATAGCTTGTAAATTAAAGGCTTGATGAGAAGAAGAGGGTGATGATGACGAATATTGAGAAGAATGGATTAATTGAATTTGGTTCTTTTGTTGAGTAGTCAAAAAAGAAGGGGATTGCTGTTGTTGATGTTGTTGATGTTGTTGATGTTGTTGTTGTTGATGTTGTTGTTGATGTTGTTGTTGTTGTTGTTGTTGTTGATGTTGTTGTTGATGTTGTTGTTGATGTTGTTGTTGTTGTTGTTGTTGTTGTTGTTGTTGATGCTGTTGTTGATGTTGATGTTGATGAGATAGATGAGGAGAGTGAGGAGGAGGATAGTGATGAGGATGCAAAGTGTTAACAGATAAATGCGAATGTGAAGGAGGATCAATATTGTGGTGATGGTGATTGTGGTGATGATTATGAGAAGAAGATATCGGTGAATATTGAATTGAAGAATTATTACTATTACTATTACTACTACTATTATGTAAATTTATTGGTAACAACGAATGGCTTTGTGATAATGATGTTGTATGATCTAAATTAGCTAGAATGTTTCTTGGTAACGTTATAATGGCATTTGATTGGTGTGGTGATTGGTTTGGTGATTGATGTGGTGTAGGATTTTGTTGATAACGATTTGTAGCATTAGAAGTGGCAGTGATTGGATTACTATTATTGTTGTTGTTGCTATTATTATTATTACTATTATTGTTGTTACTATTATTATTATTATTATTATTATTATTATTATTATTATTATTAACGTTATTAGCATTAGGATTATTATTATTAGCATTATTGTCATTAGCAATTCCAGGTGTCTGAGCAGATAATAATGTAGATGTTAAAATATTTTGTCTTCCTACATTAGAAAAATTTGATGGTAATCTAGAAAACTGTTGTTGTTGTTGTTGTTGCTGCTGTTGCTGTTGTGTAGTGGCAGTGGGAACATTTTGTAAAGGATTTCTAGAGTTCGAAGCTATGATTTGTTGAAAGAGAGTATTACTGGTATTATTGGTATTAGATGTGGTTGTGTTAATGATAGACGGAAGAGGTTGTAAAAGAACTGACGGTTTTTGAGATCGTTGTTCCAATGATGAAACATTAGGTTGAAGTGAATTCGAAAGTAATTGTTGATGTGATTGTAGGGGAGGAACACTTGACAAGTGTCTTGATGATATTTGAGAGTTGTTGTTATTATTGACATTGATATTAGGAGAAGTTTGTCTGGAAGAATGTTGTAAAGAACTTTGTGATGAAGGTTGACAAATCGTTTGAGAGGAAAGTCCTTGCATGGTAGTGGTAGCAGAAGTAATGGCAGTGGTGGCTGCTGGTTGAATTGATTGTTGTTGTACGATTAACAAAGGTCCTCCTCTATTTGGTTGTTGTGGTTGGTTTGCTGATGTCGTTATTGGTGGTAGCTCTTGCATATTTATAATATAAATCCGATTATTATATATTTTTTCCTGGGAGCAAAAAATTTCAGACAAAATTTTTTTTAAACATGTGTGTGGTGCATCCACATCATAATTGGTTGATTGATTTTATTCGATTTCTTTGAAGTTTCAAAAAACATAAAAATGACATAATAGTTATCATAAAAATTTATATAATGTAAGAGTTTTTTTCAATTTGAATAAATTCTTGCTAAAAAAACTAAAAAATCATGTCAAATTTACGTGAAGTAACCGGAATTAATAATAATAATATATTGGCAATATCTTCTATGACATTAAACGAACAACAAAAGGTAAAAATGTAAACAAACAAACAAACACTTGTATTTTATAGATAGGTAATGTTCATTATTTATTTTTTGTAGGCGATTGATCAAATTATGAAGGAAAATTTTAATTTGAAAATGGCGATTCACTATTTCGAAGAACAAAAATTTAATGAAAAAATCGACAAAAAATTGATAAAAGAAAATCAAGAATTGAAAAAGGAATTATTAAATTGCAGAATCCTAATTGACAACTTGAATAATAATCATTTGATAAAAGAAAAGGATCAGCAAATTATGGATTTAAAGAATCAATTGAGAAGAAATAACGAAAAGAATGAAAAATATATTTCAATGTTAAAAAATGTATTACTATATTATTATTATTATTATTATTATTATTATTATTATTGTTATGATATATTTGGTGTATCTATTATTTATTTTTAATAAAAACTTATTTAGAAAATGATGGAAATTAAATCAAGAATTCAAGATATTGGACAATTTATCATCGCTTTTCAACATAAATTGACAGAAAAATATCTTTTAAATAAATCAAGACAAAAATTTATCGTTGCCGATTTATACGAGGTGATTATAATTATTGTTGTAATTATAACGATATTGTTGGTGATAATATAATAATAATTTTTTTATAGAGAAACTTATCACTCAAAAAATTGATAATTGAACTGAACGAGAATAAAAAAATCCCAATCATGAATCACCAATACTCACAATATTAAATGTTCTCGAATATTGGTATTCTGGTTTCACGCTAATTGAATATGAGCCATCTTTAACATCATTACTGCCAGTAATTACATTAGTTAAAATCGATTTTCTACTTTCTCTTTTGCCAATTAACAATTTTTAATCATTAATTTTTTTTTGTTGCAAATTTTTTAATTTCGATTTTTTTTACACATTAATACACAGATTATCATCATAACTATAATATTTCTGCTACCAAATGTTTTTTGAGAACATGAATATGTAAGATTATTATATCATGAAGAAAAAATGTTTAGCTTTTATTTTCAGATTCACCGGGTTTCTTTGAATTACAAGCTACAATTTTAATTTTATCGACGTGTAAATGTTCATTTTGATCTAGCTTGAAATTAGGTTTCTTGATTATAAAAGTCCATACTTCATCACAAAATCGATAAGTGTGAAGATGTCCTTGCTAAATATATTTGTTTATAATTAATTAGCACACACATAACTGTAAACGTAATTGATTTGGTAAAATTTTTAAAAATTTATGCCAAATAATCTTTTAAATTACCTTGAATGTTAATTTTGTTTTAACTTTAGTTTCAAGAGCCTCTGTTAAACTCTTATCAAACTTATAAAAAAATTATAATTTAATTAATTAAAATATAATATATATATTTTACACATAAATAAATAACAACAACAACTACTACTATTATATAAATTATAAATTATAAATTAATCAAGAACAAACAAATTTTTGTCTCCCAATCCCTAATATAACATACTTGTAATAATACTTTCATGGCCAATTGTGGAGTAATTTGACCCGCTTGAATAAAATCATCAAGTGACTCTGTCAATGCAATTCCAAGACTTGACAAGCTCATGAGAATTAGTGTAACTCTTCATGAAGTTTAACAACCAAAATAAATGATTATTATCATTGAACAAACCTGCTTCTACGATAAAGTTCATAATAATGATTCATAATGTTTGTCTAATATATTTATTTATACGCAGTTATATTTGTGTATACATATATATGTCTATTAACTATTTTTGAGAAAAAAAATTTTTTTCTAGACCTTTGAAATGTTTCTCGTGACTTGTGCTGATCTGTTTCAAAAAATCTCGCAATAAAATAAATATTAATGATTTATTTGTTAAAGTATATACTACATGTTTAAATAAATAAATATTTTTTTACAAATTTATAATTCCAAATATTCTTTAATTAATTTTATATCCAAATAATTTTTAATAGTTATATCGAAAAAAGGTGAAGAATCATCATTATATCTTTCTACTTCAAATTCAATGTTTGGAAATGCTTTTCGCAAATGTTTTAACAGTTCTGTTGCAAATGATTCCATAATTTTAAATGGTATTTCTCCATGAGCCGTATTAGTACAAAGATATTGGGCTTTGTTTTAAAAATTTTAAAATTAACAGATGCTTGTAAATTTATTATTGATCTTTCAAGAATAGCTTCGATTTAATTTGATAAATTGAATTATCTCTGAACTTAACAACTTGGTTGCCTCTTTGTATGCCTTTATCCACATATATTAATTATTATTATTATTTTGTTATTCATAATAATCAAAATTGCTAAATGAATATTTTTATTTATTTACAGTACCATCATTTTTTTTCTACAAGAAGGAATTTACATGTAAAAATATGTGCAAAAAATCACGGGTCGGTTTCAAACCCGTTTTTTTAGTGAAATTGCCTCATACTTGCATTTCTAAGACTATTACAAATGCTGACCGAACTGTCACCAACAGCTAATACTAATACTAATCACATTCGATTTTGTCACAATTTGCAACCAATCAATTCAAACTTCCACCAATGCTTAATACTCGTATTAAATTGCGAATTTTTGATTCTCTCTTTTCTCCAATAAAAAAAAAATGAATGCAGTAACTCGTAGATTGCTCAAAGAACTTAAAGACTATCAAAAGGAAGATCATCCAGATCTTATTAATCTTTCACCGACTCAAGATGACAATTTATTAATTTGGCAAGCAGTTTTGCGGGGTGAAAATGAGACACCTTATCAAGGTAAGAAACCTATTGTTATACATAATTTAAAGTGTGTATACATTACAATATATATATATATAATTTTTCTTGTAGGTGGTTCTTGGACACTACGCATTGAAATACCAAAGTCATATCCCATTCAGCCACCCAACGTTAAATTTATGACAAAAATATGTCATCCAAACATAAATTTCAAAGTAATGTATAATTATAAATATACCTTTCAATATTTGTTTTTTAAAAAAATAATATTAACTTAAATAATGTTTTATCAGACAGGTGAAATTTGTTTAGATATTTTAAAGAATGCTTGGAGTCCTGCTTGGACATTACAATCTGCCTGTATGGCTATTAGATTACTACTATCTAACCCAGAACCCAATAGTCCACTAAATTGTGATGCAGGTGAGCTATTTATTCAAAGCAAATATATTTTTTTGTTTCATAGAATAATAAATATAACTACTATTATTATTGTAAAATAAACCGATTTAGCAAATTTACTTCGATGTGGTGATTTATTGGGATATGAATCTTTAGTAAGAATGTACACAGAACTTTACGCATCGGGTCAAGATATCGAAGAATATTATTAAGGTGATACTTTTAAAAAATAAAAAATAAAAAATAAAGGGAAAATGAAATTTATTAGGCAAGATTATTTTATTATATGGATATTTTTAAAAGATATAATCAATAAAATTATAATTTCAACTTCATTCTAAAAAGCATTTAACTAATTATATTTAATGATATTTAGACAAATTTTAAATTTGACAATTGGCTTAACATCACTACATCACTCCATCTATACATCAAATCCATTAATCTATCTATCCACTTACACTCACGATTCTAAATATTTTATTTTTTATAAATTAAACTTTCTATTAACTCGTATCAATTATATAAAATATCAATTTAACATTTTATATGAGACGTACTTCAACAAAATGAACATTGCATCACAAAGAAATTTCAGGATCAAATTGTTTATAATTGACTTTGTAAATTATTATTTGCTAAAATGTACATTTACTATTTATTATTTCCTCTTAAACTTCCTTTCTACCCACCCCACTTACATCCTTTCGAATCAGCAACAAAAGTGAAGGAAACAAAAACCAATAATAATATTTAATCAAAAGAATTTCTTTAGTTGAGCAGCATCAGCATTAATTTCAATCTAAACGAGAAAGTAAAGGGTCTGACAATTTTTAGTTTCGTGTATAGAAAGAAATAGTAGCCAAAAGAACAAATCCACTTGTTAAATAGTTCAGCATTTTGTTTTTTATTAAAAAATGTAAAATTTCCTCTAAGGCTTGATTGATCTTTTCAATATTTTTAATGCAATTAATGGGAAATTCTCCCACTTTGATAAATTCTTTATTGTAGGGTTATAAATCTTTTTAATCTTTCTTTTAATAATTTGTAATTATGTTTATTGAAATCAATCAAATTTTGTTTATCTAGCACTTATTTTGCTCTAATTCTTGACCTCCAAATAAACAAACATATAAAAAGTTTTTTCTTACCCTCATTTTTTTTCTAATTCTTCTACTATGCTTTTTGACTATTTTTTCTTCTTTGATGATTTCTGTTATTTTATTCATGGTAATTGCTTCCTTTTTTATTTCTGCTGTTTCTTCGATGGGTTCCATTTTTAATAAAATTCAAAGTTATTAATAAAATCTCAAAGGAAACAAAAAGTAAATGATGGCAGAGTATTTTTCTCTATTCATTTTTGTTATCATCTTGGGAAGTTTGCTTAGCATAAATATGCTCTTCAGATCCCTTATTCTTGAATTCATCTATTAGGAAAGTAAAATTATTATCAGAAAGAAAATTTCTATTTCTACCTTTGCCTATTTGTAATTCTTTTTTTTTGTTTTAAGGATATCAAGTTTTCGTTGCGACTATATCCCTGCAATTCTCTCAAGTCTTTGATTTAGTAGTTAACTTTTTTTTACAATTCACTGCTGCAAAGAAATAAAAATCTTATCTTATCAAAAAGTTCAATTAAATCCGCTTTGATGCTTTCATTTTTTTACTTTTCCTAACCCATCTAGCAAGATAACAGGATTCATACAACTACCTTCTTTAATTGCCCAAACTATCAAACTAAGTCTCCTAAAATGAAATCAGAAGGATTGGCAAGGAATTAATTGTCATGGTAGTTGCAAGAGTTTGCACAAAAGTTGTTATCCCCCACTCCTGGTAGTTCTGCATAGATTATTCTCTTTGAGGACAAAAGTTGCCTTTGAGAACGTGATATGGTTTCTAAATACTTATTTTTTCTCATTGAATCCATCATGTTTATTTCACTATTTTTTTTAGCTCTTGGCAATTACTAAATTGTTTGAAGAATCTTTTAATTTTTTTTGTTCTTCAGCGTTTTGCTGCAATACAAAATAATTAATAGTCTAAATTATGGATTAAAATTTGATTTGAATAAAAATTCACTACATAATTAATTACTCCAATTTAATTTGATATGAAAGAAATAAATTTATTTGTGTAATATACCGTAAAGTCTGGAAAGATAGCATCCCCTTTTTACATATGTGTAACATTTTTTTTATATTGACGCTCAATTGTT